GTCTTATATAGTAGCAGTGCCGGAGTAATTGTACTAGAAGAACCGGAAAAACGATAATAGTTAAATAAATTAAGAATATTTGACTATAATTCAAGTTGCAAGAGCTACTTACGATAATGTATTATGTATGTTGCAAAAATGATAAAAGTATGTAAGATGAGTGACACCAAGGATTATAGGCCCCTGATACCAGTTTTCGACTTTTAGTACAATATTTATGTAAAAGCTAACAAAGTCTATTAATTACTTCAGCTTATATAAAAAGTTAAAATCCATAGAAGTCAAGTTTTCGGTACTTACGTTTCAAGCGTATGATAGATATTGGAGGAAAATTACTCGGCCTCCCAATTTCATTCTAGTTTTCGAGCGTAAGTACATTATTTATGTGAAAATAAACAAATTCTATTAGTTTTGGCGGGGTCTTCGGCATATACAAAGAGTTATAATCAATACAAGTCATAATTTTGGAGGAAAATTGGAGGAAAATTTTTTGTCCTTTATATTTTATTCTAGTTCATGATTTTGAGTTCATAGTTTATGTAAAAATAAACAATGTGTATTAAGTTTAGCGGGGTCTTCGGCGTATATAAGAAGTTATACTCAATAGAAGTCGCATTTTTGGTCCTTGCTTGACAAGCGTATGCTGGAAAATAGGAAGAAAATTACTTGTCCTAATTTTATTCTAGTTTTCTATTTGTAGTACATTGTTTATGTAAAAATAAACAATATCTATTAATTTCAGCAGGGCCTTCGGCATATACAAAAAGTTATAATCAATAAAAGTCGCAATTTACGAGGAAAATGAGAGGAAACTTTTGTCCTTCCAATTTTATTCTAGTTTATGATTTTTAGTTTATTGTTTATGTGAAAATAAACAATGTGCATTAAGTTTAGCAGGGTCTTCGGCATATATAAGAAGTTACAATCAATAGAAGTCACATTTTTGGTCCTTGTTTGATAAGTGTATGCTGGAAAAAAGGAGGAAATTAACTAGTCCTCTCAACGTTATCCTAGTTTTCGATTTTTAGTACATAGTTTATGTAAAAATAAACAATACCTATCAATTTTAGCGGGGACTTCGGAGTATTTAAAAAGTTATAATTTGGAGAAATCACGTTTTCGGTACTTACCTTTCAAGCACATGACAGAAATTAGAGTAAAATTACTCGTTCTCCCAAGTGCATTTCAGTTTTTATTGATTAGTTTATTGTTTATGTACAAATAAACATTGCCTATCAATTTCATCAGGGCCTTCGGCCTGTATAAAATGTTTTACTGAATAGAATTCGAATTTTTGGTCATTGCTTGATAAGCGTATCATGCACTAGCAGCCCCCCCCTGTCTCGGCTTCGCCTAAGACTCACTAAATAGAATACTGTGGTGTGTTGACAAGTAATATGAAACGTTTTCAGTTGAAAATTTTGCATCTATATCTGACACTTCTCAGAACAAAAATCTTTGATCAAGTAAGAATCTGTAAAAAGTGAAAAAAATATAATTTTTCTGAAAAGTTGCGTGCATTCCTTATGCCATAAAATAATCGTTGGCCCTAAAAGGACGTTGATCTGCAGTTTCTCCCGTACAATCTACAAAAAGGATTATTGTTTAAAGCTGTAATGATTTAAAACTCAAAAAAAAATATAATTAAAAAAAATTTTTTCTCTTATCTCATAACTCTATTACCACAGCAACTAAGTCCTGGAGCTTAATCTCTACATTATTTATCGCCATAAAAATAAAAATACATATTCTACCTACTCAAAAATCTGGAAGATTTAAGAGATTCCTTTGAGGGTTATCGTGAAGAAATGATTTCATTCTTAATAAATTTTTTATTTATCGATTTTTATGCTGCTTTAATCTTGATAAATGGTTAGAGTCATTTTTTTGAAGCCTACAATTGTATTCATTAGATGCATTTCAAGTTTTCTTTCTAATTCGATTTTTTGCGACTTTTGGCATAGTTAAGACTTTTAAGCGCCATAAAGGCTATTTTTTTCAACTTTATTAGGTCATAAAATACTTGTTGACAAGGTAGTTCGATGTCTGATGACCTTGAAAAGGACCAGTGAGCTTCTTAAGTAAACTCTTTCTTGAGTGAAGTTTCGAGCAAACTTAGTTGCCTGTATACCTCAGGATGATCTTCTCTGGCCTCTTATTGTATCACCACACTGATAGGGAGGACAACTACAACGTTTGAAGCTTTAGAGCTGGTTGTAGAGCTCTTTCCTAATGTCTCCTGGTATAATGTCGAAGACGTTGGTGTCTAAAGCACCTTCTTTTTTTGCAGACTCAGTTGTTTTGGTGATTTAAGGTAGAGAGATTGGTTCATGATGCTTGCCCGTAGGAGACTCTCCCGTTGGTTTACGTTTGTTTTACCTTCATAGTTGTTAAGTTCTTCCAGCGCAGACCTTGGAGAGGATCGGTGATTCCTAGTTGAATGCTTAGAGTTAAGAGGGTAATAAAGGGTTGTCGGTCACCGGGGTTTCCAGCCTTGCGATGAACAACTCCGCTCGTGACGTCTACCAGTAAATGACTGACTTGGTTTAATAGTGACCGGCTTTACATACTTAGTCTTTTAGTCAACGAATCGTTTTCAGAAATAGAAGTAAAAATGTATTTGTTGGTAAGGTAGTTTAAACTAAGGTGGCCCTTAAAAGAACCGAATTCTTGAAGATGAAGAGCGTACATCGGATAGCTTGACTCCTACACTCAGAGTCTCTGCGTACGCAAATCGTGCTGAAGAGAGGTACACCACTGGCCCAAGAGTATCACGTCTTCGGGTCGCTCCTCAGATAACCAACCGCTCATCGTTAGTCGGGAGAGTGGGCCTGGAGAATACCTTCTCTGTAGGTATGCTCTCGGGATGACCACTAAGAAGGAGGCTGTTGTGGCTGCCCGTACTCTTCAGTGCTGTCTTTTCTGGCTTGCATTTGAAGGAGAAATTTCTCTGCCAGCACCAGGCCGGATGGTTTAACGGCCACCAAACTCTGAAGTGATGGAGCATATTGTATTATGATCTAGCTAGACACGTCTCCTGGTATTTCTCAGGAGACGTTGACGTTCCGAACACCTGTATTTTTTCGTGTCACTTGGTTATCTTGGCGATCCGGGGTACAACCGATTTATTTCGCTTGCCCATGAAAGAAGAGTGTCATCGGTAGCCGGAATGTCCAGCTGCACGACTTACAACTCTGTTCTTGGTGTACTGCCGATGAACGACTATTATTATCGACAACTCCATGATGCATCTTATAACCGCTCTTTACTATCTTTGATTGCGGATGGCTTTAATTTTACCTTGACGTCACCTAGCGGATCCTACTGAATTAAAGTGCAAAGCTAGCTTACTTTAGCAAAACTTTGAGCTTATTTATTGCTACTGTTATTTACTTTTTTAAGAGAAAAAACTATGCGAAAACCATCTCGGAATTATCAAGAATTAGTATGCAAAATTTCAGCAAAATCGGTTTAGTAGTTTTCGCGGTTAGCGATTACAACGGTTTTAGCGATTTTGCTTTATATATTAGTTAGATAAGATGATTGGAGGAAAATTTTTTGTCCTTCCAATTTCATTCTAGTTTTTGATATTTAGTACATTTTTTATGTAAAAGTAAATTATGTCAATTAATTTCAGCTGGGCCTTTGCAGTATTTTGGCATTTGTGTCTACCTTTACAGATGTCAGCTTATGCGGTTATTGGGTTATTTGTCAGGTCATTTTTGTCGAGGTTTCAAAACAGCTATAATATCATTTTTTAAGCCTTTTTTACAATGTTAGAGGTTGTTAACATTGTTTATAACTGTTTATAACAGTGAAACTACCCAGCAAACCAGACCTTGCTCAGACTTCTTAAGCTATGAATTTAAATGCCATAATACAATAAGTATTGCGATAGTATTAGTAACAAAAAGTTCTAAAATATACTCATATTCTTGGCCTATTTACGAAAATAAGATGTGGAAGTATAAATCTGAGAAAAAATACTGATTGTGGACTTATGATAAATACTTATTTTATGTGGAAGGGACTTTGGAAATTTAAAGTGTGTACTAAATAAGTGTTAAGTGAGCAAAAAATGAAAACAGAATAGAATTTATAGAAGGAAAACTATAGGCTGAGTATAGGCTGGGTGCACGCCAACCTCGCGCATTTCCGAGGCTTAGCTACAAAAACAGTGCAGTAAAAAAAATTTTGCATCTATATGTAGCCCAGAATTTGTTTTCTGTTTTATCACATTGAGTTCATGATTACTCTTTCACAAAGCTTTCCCCTTCTTTTCATTACCTAAACGTAATATATTTTCAGTGATGGGCAAAAACCTAAAAATTGCAAATCTACCCATTTTTTTACATTCAGTTCAATATAACAAATAATTCTGACTCATTGACGCTAACATCAATAAAAAAGACTAGTGTCAGATGAGAAGCGGTCTTGCCAACTTGCAGCCGAGGTGGAAAATAATTTTTCCGCCCTCGGGTGGTTTTGGGAGGCTGATACTTCCTCGGGCGAAAAAGCAGTTTTCCGAAACTCGTTCGAAAAGTCTCCTTTACGAACCTCGTTACGTCCCTCGCCTTCGGCTCGGGCCGCAAACCTCTCGGTTCGCAAACAGAGACTTTTCAAACTCGTAGGAAAACTACCATTTTGGTGCTTATAAAAGCATTCTCTTGCGCTGAAAAAAATTTACGTGAAAATAATACTAAATTAGATTTGAGGACTAATTATAAACTTTCAAAAAGATTCCATTAAAACGCAAAAAAAGTTATTTATCTGGTCAATCAGCTTTGTTAGTGTATTTTTTTTATTTTTTTTTACCACGATGATTTAGTAGCTAAGCCTTGGGAGTGCGCGGGGGTCAGCGTGCACCCAGCCAATAAACAAAAATAAATACAAATCGTTAATATTACATGAATTGGATTCCAACTATTTGTGACCAGGGAGTCCTATTTTTTTTGGGTGGTTAAGTTAAAGTTCGTGTTGAAATAAATAAAAATAAATACCTTTAAAAAGTCTGCGTCCCAAGAACTTATGTCATCCGTTCTTTTCTCCTTGTTTTCATCATCTTCTGGTGGAGGTGGATCATCTTTATGATACGTTGCCCACTGAATTACTTTTCTAAGTATAGCTGAATTCACATTTGGTAATGGTACAACTTCTTCTTCATCTTCATCCATACCTAAGTCTTCAAGCATAGTTTTTATAGTGACAGAACACTTTGCTATATCAACATCCACTTCGAATACCTCTCCATCGGAACTTTGTAACTTTATATTTGGCATCTAAAACAACGGTTTAAAGACTTCAGACTTTTTATTAAAAAATGATAGCTTATAAGGTTCTCTACCTTAACACATATTTATTATACGTCTGCGTGATGTATTAAGCTATTTTATAATACATACGTTATGCTATTTTTCGCAGCTCTTAAGTGGTTTACATCCCAATAATTACTTGAGATTTTTATTAAAATCTCAAAATTTATACTTTTAGATAAAGATCAGTTTGTTTTGAATGTACATGTATAAATCATGGCACAGCGAGTCTATATATATATATGTCTTTTCAAATTGTTTTTTGGTTTAGGGATTAATGGTAATGTTTCCTATTTAAAATTTAAGTAACCCGCTAAACATAGCCACTGCACTATATAGCGCACAACAAAAATGGAACAGTACGTCACTAGGACGCAAAGTACAAACATGAGCGCCCGAAGGGCGCGCTTGTTGTAGGCTGATGCCCGAGTCGCGTATAATGTTTTTCTTACCGAAGGCGCAAAGTGCAATTTTTCTCCCGTGGGCACACTTTGCGCCCCGTAAATTACTTTGCCCTTCGGACCCATAGTACTTTTCTGCCCGTGGGCCCAAAGTGATTACAAGGGCGCAAAGTGTGACTCGAGGGCGCAAAGCGGCAGTTGCACCTAGAGCCCATGGTAAAAATGGTAGTTTTCCTACGAGTTTGAAAAGTCTTTGTTTGCGAACTGAGAGGTTTGCGGCCCGAGCCGAAGGCGAGGTCCGTGGCGAGGTTCGTAAAGGAGACTTTTCGAACGAGTTCCGGAAAACTGCTTTTTCGCCCGAGGAAGTACCAGCCTCCCAAAACCACCCGAGGGCGGAAAAAAATTTTTTCTTAACAATCAAAAATAGGCTCATTTGCTATCTGCAATAATAAAAAATATTATAACAAGATAATCGTGGTATCAGAATAGCTATAAACAATTATTCATAATAAATAAGCATATAGCAATTGTAGAATATGGTTTTTTTTTAAGTGAATTAGATATATCTCTGCCCAACGTTACGATTGATACATCCAACTGGGCTCATTTCATTCGTTTCTTAACTAATAGTAGTATCCTTCGTTAATCGTTGTGTCATAAAAGCGATATATAATAAAGAGTTATAAATACACAAGAAATCGGTTAAATAAAAGTTTTTCTATAGCGGAGGATCCATATCTCTGCCCTACATTATGACTGCTAGGTTTAGTTGGGCTCATTGTTTTTTTTTCCTTATCTAAAACTATTATTTACTACTGAATATTGTGTTAAAATGTCAATTATTACTAAATTATTGTAAATTATTAACAACAAATTGGGTGATTGAATGATTTTCTATAGTTAATGAGCCATATCTCTACCCTACGTTATGACTTATTGGTCGAACTGGGCTTATATTTATTGTTTTTTGTCCAACAATATTATCCACTACTAATCACTGTGTCAAAACAGTGAAAAACAATATATTAATGTTGATAAACAATGAGAGATCAGATAATCAAAAGCTTTCCCTTGGTGAAAGAGCCATACCTCTGCTCTACGTTATGATTGATCAGTGTGACAGGGCATTTTTTCTTTGTTTGATATTTAATAGTTGTTAAATAAATATACTATGAGGTACTGCATCAATAATATAACACTTCTTAACACTTAAATTAAGTTTAATATAGAGAAATAAAGATTAATTAAGATAACAAGATCTTTTCTCATAATACCGAGAGACTCTATGAGAGCGTGCGTGCACGGCAACGGCCATGTTCTGTTTAACCCTACTGCATCATTGTACAAACTACAAAGCACACGCACACATCATCTCGCACCCACAGAGCCAATGCCGCATAACAGATGTCACTACTTGCACATCTAATATAAATTTATTTATATTCCAACACCCCTGCTTAAATTTATATTACAATCTTAATTTTAGTACCTTAAACTACTTTACATTTAACTTATTTCTAAATCTTTCGCACTAATTTCTGTCCAAATCATTGGTAAAAATATCTGCTACATTTTCTTCCGAATCAACTTTTACAACATCAATTTCGTGTTTCGCATAACTTTCGTTTACACATAGATAATGAGTTTTACTGTATTTCGACTTTTTAGTAAAATTTCTAAATCTAGCTATACTTATAGCACCAGAATTACCTTTATACATTTTAATTAGATTTCAAACTTCAATTTTTAAACTAAGCAATAAATTTTTTATAACTTTTAATTCATTCACACACTCAGACAACGCTACAAACTCAGCTTCTGTAAATGATTTTGTAACCCTATTCTGTTTTCTGGATTTCCAATAAATTACATTTCCATACGGTCTTATTACATAGCCTGTCGTTGATTTTTTATCAATTATTTTACTTGCCCAATCAACATCAACAAAGCAATCAATAATATTATTATTACTACTCTTTTCACAAGCTTATTGTAAATATTTTGTTAAAAATGAATATTTTAAAATCCTTAAAGCATATTTAATATGTATTTCATAATAACTATTTTAAAATCTACTTGAATAATTTACACCAAAGCTAACGTCAGGTCTAGTTCCCACACTTACATACGAAAAAGCTCCAATTAAGTTTCTAAACTTAATATCATCACATACTGATGGCGTTGCTTCTAATACTAAATTTTGTTCCACAAGAACTGCATACAATTTTGAATTTTTAAAATCATATTTCTTTGCTAATGTTTCAGTATATTTTTTCTGATCAAGTATCATTTTTTCATTTTTATAGTAATAATTAATCCTAAGACTTAAATAAGTACTTATTCTACCAAAATCTTACATTTGAAACTTTTTACACAATAATCTTTTAACAAAATTTAATTTTTCTTTATTTTTATAGAAAATTAATAAGTCATCAACAAAAAGAATTAATTATACATCATTTTTGTCATTTAAGACATGTAAACAACAATCGTTTTCGCTTCTTTTAAAATTTTAACTTTTCAAACAAGTATCTAAACACTCATACCAAGCTCTTGGGCTTTATTCTAATTTATATAACGCTTTATCTCATTTTAATACCTTAACAGAGCTATCATCAAAGCCTTGTGGCTGTTTTACATTTACTTTAGATTTTACTTTTTCATTCAAAAACGCTGTTTCGACATCCATCTGTTCAATAATTGAGTTATTTTTAAAACAATAAGAAAACAACATTTAAAAAAATTGTGTTGATGCAATTTGTAAAAAAATATCATCAATTAAATCATTTTGCTGGTAACCTCTAACAACTAATCTAGCCTTAAAAATATAATTAGCCTTTTTAGTATAAATCCATTTCATACCTTAAGTTTTTTTACCATTTGATTTATTTACAGAAATCCAAGTTTTATTCTTATTTAAACATTCTATTTCCCTATCCGTTACATTTTTTCCAATATTTTGATTCATCACTTTTCATTGCAATGTAATAAAAACAGGCGTCTCAGCATTTGTATAATTTACATAAATAAAATTACGATGTTCAAAATTTTAATCTCTGTATCTATCAGGCTTTTTTCTTTCCCTAGTTAACCGTCTTAAATTAAAATTTTCGATTTCATTATTGCCATCTGTATTTAAATTACCATGTTTGTTTTCAACACCGTTTTCATTTAAACTAATTTTTACTATGTCATTTTCTGATCCTTAACCAATACAATTTGTGCCATCTTCGATAATATCAACTTATCTTGCAACTTCTGTTTTATTATTTATCAGAACTCTATAACCAACATTTTCATAACCTAACAAAATTTTTTAATCTGCTTTTTTGTCCTATTTAAAATTTTTTTTTTCCTCTGGTATTTTTACAAAAACTCTACTTCCATAAATTTTTAATTTTTTTGTACAAGGTGTTTTCTCAAACATAATTTGAGAAGGTGTTTCATTCTTTTTAACAGTATAAGTAATAATTCTATTTTTCAAATAAGCTGCTGTTTTATCTCTTTCTGGCCAAAATCTATGATGAACCCTTGCTTCTTTTGATGAACATCTAGACTTATTCATAATATCCCTGTTATATTTTTCTGCCGTTTCATTCAATTCATGTACATAAGGTGGACACGGTTCTATAGATATACCTTTCTCGCTTGCAAAATTACTTTTATCCTTATTTCTATATTCTTTTTCATCATCACATCTTCGTCTTTTTATTTTTTCTTCCTGTCTTACTTTCAATTAAATTTACATAGCCAACAAAACGGTTGTATACTTGACATTTTGATTTAATACAATACGATTTAGCTATTTTACTGTAATAATCGATAAAAATCAAAAAGTTATTTTTCGCCATTCAAACCAGTAGTACTATGAGGTCCATTTTAATCGGTAATTACAATTTCTAAAGTTTCATTGGCCCTTGATCTGTCATTATTAAGTGCTAAATTATGCATTTTATTTTCCAAACAAAATCTACGTTTTAAATAATCAATTTTTAATTTCCTGGGGAAACCATTCAGCATTTATTGATCACACATTGTTTTCAAATATTTAAAATTCATGTGACCTAGTGTTTTATGCAATTTTTCCTTTTCTGTTAACTTATTTTTTGTCATTAAATTTGACTCACTATACGTAATGTCACTTGTCATATAATGAATATCATTATTACTAATAGCCAACGCAATTAAATTTTCATTTTGATCAAAAATCTTTGAGATGTTTCCTACTAAAACAATTTTACTTGCTTTTGTTATTTTACCGTAACTTATTGAATTTTTATCTACATCTTTAACGAAAAAAACTTTATTCACTATATTCATTTTACTTTGACCATAAACAATAAACTTGTGCCTAACATTACCAATTTTTTTTGCTTTTAAAGAACGACTATCATCTACTTGTACATTTATAGGTTTTTTCAACTCAACAGATTTATAAAAATATTACCATTTATAACATGATCTGGGCAATCGCTATAAAGTAACCATTCAACCTTACTAGCTCAGCTGTTTGCTTTAACACGCGGCTTATGAGGTCTTTTCTCTTATTACGCATTTAAACTACTT